CCCCGCCACACACACACCTTTTTATGTCTCAATGCTCAGTACTGTGTGAGGGCAGAGGGGAGACCAATGGTGTCAATGACCTTTTAACCTCTGGGGGATGCTGAAGGCCTTCTAAAAAAGCCGCAGCAGTCACGTGACCGGCGGAGACACTGGCAGCTGGAGTGGAAAAGCTCAAGCTTAACAGCTCAAGCCTAATTCCCTTCTCTCCAGACAGCCATGTGGGTCTGACAGCTCAGGTCTGGGTCTCAGCTGTGAAACTATCACAAGCCCGATGGTACGAGTTTGTTCAGACAGGCACATGTTTCCATGATTTCAACAGTGCACCTTTTAGTAGGTCTGTGTCACTTCACATTACAGCTTTGTTTTGTAGGATCTTTTAGTCACATCTGTGCAGATATTCAAGGTGCCCAGAGGATGAAGTCGACTAATTTTGGTGCCGACTTTTCCTTAAACACCACTGTGACATTTGTGTTTACGCAATTACTAAATGCATTGTCGTGTAGTTTCACACATCCGTTCACGGTGCCCAGAGAAAGAAACCTAATGGCTTTGGTAAGCCCCTGATTTCTCAATCAAGAACATTTTAATTTGTATATCCAATATATGTATAATATATACACTATAATACATTTTCTGTTTCAGATGTTAGAGGTGAGGGTTTTTAGGAAATCAATTCACACGACAGAACATATCACACTTCTATACGTTTCTTAGGAAAACAGGAAATACTCTAAACAGGATCTTTAACAGGAAGTTTCGATTTTGTTCAACGGTATCAGGTTTGGTTTCATTCATGTAATTTCCATCAACAGTTCTCGTTCTCAGTGTAGGCCTGTAACGAAGGGGAAAAAATACTTCCACTGTAAAAGATTTGAGGTTTTTCTCCCCTTTTGTATAAATTATATATATATTACAATATATTTACATGTATTTTCTGTTTTTAGTTTAGTTTTTTCTTTGTTTTGTAATTGTTTAGTATCATTCGCCTTATTGTCTCCATTTGTCTAAAAGAGATTTTCAATAGAAAACAAAAACTATTCTAGGTTTTATTACTGAAAGTGAGTAAATTCAACAAACTGTCACTTAAGTGATTTAGTACGTACATAAAGTTGCGGTACTTCGAAGACAAATTAAATTACAAACGGTCAAAATTGGAGCATCAGAGGCTCAACTAGCCTCAATTTTAGTCCCTAGTATCGGTCAAGCAGCAAAAACACTGCCTACATTTCCCATAATGCAACTCTACAACATCTTTTTATTAGACCTTTCCTGCCTGTTAAATGCCCTCATCTTTCAAACTCATGTCCAGTTTATACCTCAGGTTTTCTGTTAAAGTCTGACACATAACCTTGGTGACATCACTGTCACAAGGGTTATTTCCTCCTCCAGTGTCACAGCAGACTTTATTCAGCAGTTTACCCGAATAGCACTCCATATAATGAGTTAAGTGACGTATGTGTGAAATCCGTGGAGTGCTCGTCTACACAAACGACAGACTCACACTGACACAAACACATTTTATCACAAGGAGAGAAATAAAATGTTTATTTTACCATCTTTTTTTTTTTTCTTTGTACACTAATAATAAAGTTCAGCAGAGTCCTCTGGGTGGTAAACACCCCCAAAACACAACAAGTACAACAAATAGTGTTTCCATTGGGTTCACCCAGTAACATCTTGGAATCAATGTAGTGATATATATATATAAAAAAAATTTAATCGGATTCACAAAAAAAAAAAAAAGAAACATAACAAAAGTGTAACAGATGAATGTGTTCCTCTGGTCACCGCGTGAGACCCGAAAACATTATTCCAAGTAGAGAGAAGCTTCGATTGGACGAGAGTCTGGAGGGTCATGCACCATCACGTAGTGTCGTTACAGTCAGGGGGAAGAGAGCGGCTCTACAGAGCCTCCGTATGCTTTGAAGCAGTCTTACAAAACATCGAATTCAGTTAATGAACTGCGGGTTTGATATGGTAATAATAATAAAAATGGAGCGCAGCCGAGCGAACACAGTTTAGGTTTCAAGTCGCCTTTTAGAACCAATACTGCACCGTGTGTCACGGCTTTGGAGTTCCAACCGAGCTCTCCTTTCAACAATCAGTTTTTCATCAAAAGACATACATGGAATGGAGGAAGTACAAAAAAAAAAAAAGATAACAGACCAAACATTTCCAAAAGGCATAGTATTAAAAAATTAGCAAAAAAAAAAAAAATTCTGAATATATAAATTCTATGACTCAGGACAGCACATCTTCCTTATGTATACTGTACCTTTCTAATTCGTACCAGCAAGACATTTTTCAGAAAAATGTATTTTTTGGTCCTGTGTGAGTGTTTATTTCATGGATAGTCTGCACAGCAAAATTTCACCTGTGCTCCAGCGTGCAGGTATCACGTGCTACTCTTCCGTGCCCGTTTCCCTGCATAGCGAGCTCTTTCATTCACAGTTTGAGAGTAGTTACTCTTTATTAGCGTTGGTTGGATGCTGCTGCATACGATCCTTCATTCTGGGAGAAGGGACGTGTGGCAGACGACTTCTGTTTTTCCAGATGTTGCGTATTCCTTGCGTATAAAGCAACGACAGCCCGAACCTTTTCTGGGTCAGTAACTCAGGCTGGACATTTAACACTCAGAACAACATATTTAATGACTGCTATGTTGTGAAATAAACAAAATAATAATGAGAAAAATATATAGATTTTTATCTTTTTGTGTTTTTAAAGGCTAGTGTTATGAGTCTTCTTTCCTCTACAGATGGGGCTGTTGCCACAAAGCTGAACTCAAAATGACATCATGATGATCAAGTTGTCAGTTTGTGGCTTGAAGCTAAAAAAGGCCTTGTCTAACATTTATCCTCAAATAGTAGATTCGTATATATATATATACAAATAAAATATGCATTGAAAACACCCCGCCAGCTGGAAGGAGAGGATGTTCAGTTCATGTGTCAGGGGCCGTGCCTCACCCCCTCCCTCACCCCCTC